ATCAGCCAAATATGAAGATTCTATACCTTTTAGTTCTTCAGAAGAAGTTGTTTGAAGTGTTTGACACATTTGACCCCTGTGATCTTGAAAGTAGGTCAAAGTCATTTTCATTCTCAAACTTTGTTAAGCTCCATCCCAGGAAGCCATCAGCCAAATATGAAGATTCTATACCTTTTAGTTCTTCAGAAGAAGTCGTTTGAAGTTTTTGACATATTTGACCCCTGTGACCTTTAAAGTAGGTCAAGGTCATTTTCATTCTCAAACTTTGTAGGGCTCCTACCAACAAAGCTTTCAGCCAAATATCATGACTCTAGGCTTGTCCGTTCTTCAGAAGAAGTTGTTTAAAGGAAAAGTTGACGGACGAGGACGGACGGACGACGGACGCCGCACCACGACATAAGCTCACTTGCCCTTCGGGCAGGTGACCTAAAAATTGATGGAAATACCACTGCTATAATGTGATGGTGATATTTTTAGTGACAATGACCATAACTTTCAATTGATTAAGCCCATATTTGAACTTTTCCAAACAAACCATACTAGATTTTCCCAAAAAACATAACATGCCTATACGAACGGGGAAGAAAACAGCACCTCAAACTTTCTATACGAGGGGCTGATGTTCTGTCATGATGACAGTACAACCATGATGTCATACTTACCATACCAGCCAACAGTGCACACATACTGATGACAAACATCACGTTATAGACAGCAGATCCTACCACTGTCCCAAGTCCTATGTCGTCCTGTAACCATGGAAACAAGTACTTTATATCATTGATTCAGAGAAAGGAAATATGCACAAAACAATTAAAAGTGAATACATGTTATAATATGTCATCTCTAACACATGTGATAACATGTCATCTCTAACACATGTTATAATATGTCATCTCTAATACATGTTATAGCATGTCATCTCTAATACATGTTATAACATGTCATCTCTAACACATGTTATAACATGTCATCTCTAATACATGTTATAATATGTTGTCTCTATTACATGTTATAACATGTCATCTCTAATACATATTATAATATGTCATCTCTAACACATGTTATAACATGTCATCTCTAATACATGTTATAATATGTTGTCTCTATTACATGTTATAATATGTCATCTCTTATACATATTATAATATGTCATCTCTAACACATGTTATAACATGTCATCTTTAACACATGTTATATTACGTCATCTCTAACACATGTTATAGCATGTCATCTCTAATAATGTTATAATACGTCATCTCTAATACATGTTATGATATGTCATCTCTAATACATGTTATAATACGTCATCTCTAACACATGTTATAATACGTCATCTCTTACACATGTTATAACATGTCATCTCTAACACATGTTATAACATGTATAAGAGATGACATATTATAACATGTAATAGCGACAACATATTATAACATGTATTAGAGCTGACATGTTATAACATGTGTTAGAGATTACATATTATAACATGTATTAGAGATGACGTATTATAACATGTATTAGAGATGACCTGTTATAACATGTATTAGAGATGACATGCTATAACATGTGTTAGAGATGACGTAATATAACCTGTGTTAAAGATGACATGTTATAACATGTGTTAGAGATGACATTCTATAACATGTATTAGAGATGACATATTATAACACGGATAGAGACAACATATTATAACATGTATTAGAGATGACATGTTATAACATGAGTTAGAGATGACATGCTATAACATGTATTAGAGATGACGTATTATAACATGTATTACAGATGACATGTTATAACATGTATTAGATATGACGTGGTGGGAGATTGGGTAGAGATGACATGTTATAACATGTATTCGAGAATACATGTTATAACATGTCATCTCTAACACATGTTATAAGATGTCATCTCTAACACATTTTATAATACGTCATCTCTAACACATGTTATAATACGTCATCTCTTACACATGTTATAACATGTCATCTCTAATACATATTATAATATGTCATCTCTAACACATGTTATACCATGTCATCTCTAATACATGTTATAATATGTTGTCGCTATTACATGTTATAATATGTCATCTCTTATACATATTATAATATGTCATCTCTAACACATGTTATACCATGTCATCTCTAATACATGTTATAATACGTCATCTCTAATACATGTTATAATATGTAATCTCTAACACATGTTATAACATGTCAGCTCTAATACATGTTATAATATGTTGTCTCTATTACATGTTATAACATGTCATCTCTAATACATATTATAATATGTCATCTCTAACACATGTTATAACATGTCATCTCTAATACATGTTATAACATGTCATCTCTAATACATGTTATAATACGTCATCTCTAATACATGTTATAATATGTCATCTCTAATACATGTTATAATATGTCATCTCTAGTATGTCAGTCTTGCAGGCACTTTTTCATTGAACTTGTTCGAAACTTGATCAGCTAATCTTTTACAGGTAAAATAAATCGTTCAAATGTTCACTTCAATATATTTCAAAGGGGCAGACAATTAACCTTTAATCAGAATTTTGTTTGATTTTTTTTTTTAATGGAATGGACTTGAGTTTGACATACAGTTTAAAATGATGACTAAACATCTTTTTCACTGGCAAGATAAAATTTTGGAAACCATCTTTTAAAGTTTAACGGAACATAAGCAGACAAAAGTTTCTATATGACAGATGGTCTATGTCTGTAATGTGTGTATAAGGATTCACTTGTAAAGGTGATGGTATAGGCTAGGTGAGTATTTACCTGACTATGATAATTACCAGGTACAAAGACACCAGGTATAAAATTGACAGGTATGTTACCACCAGGTAGCCACTAAATACATGCAGACTGAGACGTCTACATATGGATTTGACAGCGTTACATAATAGCCCCTTTTTATCAGAACTAATGCCTGTCTAATGAACATATAAGCAACATTTACCTTCTCCTTTTCCTACCTGGTATATATATTTTTAAGATAAACCTACAGTATCGTTATACACACCCCCTTATAACGAATATCCCATCTTTATACACACACCCTTATTACGAATATCCTATCGTTATACACACCCCCTTATTACGAATATCCCATCGTTATACACACACCCTTATTATCAATATCCTATCGTTATACACACACCCTTATTACGAATATCCTATCGTTATACACACCCCCTTATTACGAATATCCCATCGTTATACACACCCCCTTATTACGAATATCCCATCGTTATACACACCCCCTTATTACGAATATCCCATCGTTATACACACACCCTTATTACGAATATCCCAAGTGTTTACCATATATTGACACATACCAATTTGATTCTGTCAGTCTGACATTAACATGATCCGGCTGTATCAGTACATTTTTAATTACTACACACAGAGAAAAATTAAAGTACACTCCTGAGCTGAGACACCAGTAACCCAGTTTTTGATACATTGTGTATACGCTCTCTATCGATAGGATCAGAAACATCCCGGACTGAGTGACATAAGAAATATACAATTTTGTCACATCGTTGTACAGGTAAACAATACAAATTGCTCACTCAGTCATAGCTTGACAAAGGGACCAGTCGGTCTTGAAACATTGCCACACGTTTAATACGTACATTGTTTGTGTATAAAGTAAAACTTTAATATCACATATTTCCAAACTGATGAATCCTATTGGAGACTGAGACAACATTCCTTGTGACTAGCATGAACTAAGACACAAAAAACAATACTTGAATCAGGTTCTGCTCAGCGATGAAATTTATAAGAGCTACTCGGAGAAGATTAAGAACCAGTTGAATATTGTACATTATATCAAATATAAGCTAAGAACAAGCACCAAGCATGTAACAGCCCTGTGATTGGTTGTAAGTTTCTCAATTGTTTCAATTGTGACCTCACGCCTAAGACAAGTACATGACGTCACAGACTTGCACACTGGAGTCAAAATGGCTGCTTTTTACATTTCAAGGTTGCATAAAAATTGTTGTTTTACACGAATAAATGCAACAAATCTTGATTATGTAATAAAAAGGATCTTACACTCGTTTTCATTTCATATGAAATTTATGAAACTTGTCACAATTTTTTCATTTTAGCTCGCCAGAGGCTCGCTAAATTGAGACTTGTTTCATAAATCTCATGTGAGGGAAACTCTTGCAAGATCCATTATGTACAATTAAAATCTGCTACAAAAAGAACTCAGGGTTAAACCCTTCCCTTACACAACATTTCATTCTCTGGTCCCATAGATAAAGCATGGAAATTTGATTGAAATCTAATCATTTGTTCAGGAGGAGAACATTTAAAAGGAAATATTGGACTATTACCGAAAAATATACAAAAAAAACCACCAACCTTGGCAATAAAAACAGCAATGACGGCTGTAGCCAGCTCAGGGGCGGAGCTACCGGCCGCCATGAAGGTTGCCCCGGCAACATCTGACTGGATATGCAAATCTACAATAAATTTATAAAATATTGAATATAGTCAAGAAATTCAAAATGACAAAATCGTATGAGTACCATCATTGTAGCTATCACTCTAATATAATGTAATCATTTTAATGCTGTGACAGATATATTTTCCTATAGTGGTTCATATGGTATGATCACATATTCAATAATATAAGAAATGCTCTCAAATTCCACTAACTTAAAATAACTATAAGCCATATGCCACCTGGCTTATATCTCCTTGTGTGTGCATGCATGCATGAGTGCTGGAGATGTACTGTGTTTTGTTTAGCGGATGGACTATGCTTCCAACAGCTTTTGTGCTATAGTACAACCTAACTTGAACACTACAGCACAGACACTGCCACACAGTCCCGACCACTTATTGAAATATTTCATACTTTAACAACTTTGGGGACCAGACCCTTGTCGCCTGTGTAGAAGGCTGGAGAATCAACAACTTGGCCGCCCACAATCTTTACATGGATTCTTTCGTACAGCACATATATACCTGGTAATACTCCAGTTTCTAAAGGTGTACAGAAAAGTCAGTGCATCAAAAATAATTGTGTGAAAACCAAACTTACAACTGAGAAATGCTTTCACAAGTCCTTTAACGGCTGCAGTTTTATCAAATTAATGCAATTACAAATGCCAGTCAATTAATTGTAAAAAAAAATATCAGTGTTAAAAAACACATCAAACACAATAATTAGGAAGCAATGTGCACTTGCTCACAAGTTCACATTTAAAGTATTTATTGCAAACATATTAATTTGGAAATATTTATGAAAGTTCCTTTTTTCCTACATAATTTTTAGATATTTTCAAAACAGATTCCCTGCAGTAGACAAAAAAGAAACAAACACAACTTGATCAAATATATTTAAATTAACATCAACCTTAATAACTCTTAAAGTGGGAATGTTGTCCATATACACATGTACAAATACATGGAATACATGAAGGAAGAGTATAAATGATGTTTGTTTATCAAGTAAAGGATTTCCTACACCCATGATTCCAATCGATTGTGTAGGTTTGACACTGGCATCCTTGTAAATGTGTACATAAACAAGTGGAAAATAGAGACCTTAGTAAATATTACACAAGCTGTTAACAATAGGAGTGGGAGGCTGCTAGTATCTGTTGGGTGTGTGGCTATGATTCCAGTTCATAGATAACACAAATAATGTCTCTGTTAATATTGGATCAGTCATTACCAAATTGATCGTGCCAGGTAATGATGGTCTATATACTGAGGAAGGTGGTAAGGGCTTTATAGACATGACAAGATAGTATATGGTCTATATACTGGGGAAGGTGGAAAGGGATTTATACATGACAGAAAGTATGGTCTATATACTGGGGAAGGTGGGAAGGGCTTTATACATGACAGATAGTATGGGTTATATACTGGGGAAGGTGGGAAGGGCTTTATAGACATGCCAGATAGTATGGTTTATATACTGGGGAAGGTGGGTAGGGCTTTATACATGACAGATAGCTATAGTATGGTTTATATACTGGGGAAGGGGGGAAGGGATTTATAGACATGACAGATAGTATGGTCTTTATACTGAGGAATGTGGTAAGGGCTTTATATAAAGACAGATAGTATGGTTTATATACTGGGGAAGGTGGGAAGGGCTTTATAGACATGACAGATAGTATGGTTTATATATTGGGGAAGGTGGGAAGGGATTTATACATGACATATAGTATGGTTTATATACTGGGGAAGGTGGGAAGGGCACTATCCAGACCAAACTTGGTGAAAATCCCTCCGATAGTAAAGGAGGAGAAAAATTTTAAAAACCTACTTCAAATTCCCCTCCCGGGCCTGGCCCCTCTGCTACAAGAGAGGACATACCCTTTGTTTATACAAATTTAGTCCCCTTTGCCCAAGGATGCTCATAGCCAAATTATAGTATGGGTTATATACTGGGGAAGGTGGGAAGGGCTTTATAAACATGACAGATAGTATGGTTTATATACTGGGGAAGGGGGGAAGGGCTTTATACATGACAGAAAGTAGGGTTTATATACTGGGGAAGGTGGGAAGGGCTTTATGCATGACAGAAAGTAGGGTTTATATACTGGGGAAGGTGGGAAGGGCTTTATAAACATGACAGATAGTATGGTTTATATACTGGGGAAGGTGGGAAAGGCTTTATATACATGACAGATAGTATGGTTTACATACTGGGGAAGGGGGGAAGGGCTTTATACATGACAGATAGTATGGTTTATATACTGGGGAAGGTGGGTAGGGCTTTATACATGACAGAAAGTAGGGTTTATATACTGGGGAAGGTGGGAAGGGCTTTATTTACATGACAGATGGTATGGGTTATATACTAGGGAAGGTGGGAAGGGCTTTATATACATGACAGATGGTATGGGTTATATACTAGGGAAGGTGGGAAGGGCTTTATATACATGACAGATGGTATGGGTTATATACTAGGGAAGGTGGGAAGGGCTTTATATACAGGACAGAAAGTATGGTTTATATACTGGGGAAGGTGGGAAGGGATTTATACATGACAGATAGTATGGCCTATATACTGGGGAAGGTGGGAAGGGCTTTATATGCATGACATATAGTATGGTTTATATACTGGGGAAAGTGGGAAGGGCTTTATATACATGACATATAGTATGGTTTATATACTGGAGAAGGTGGGAAGGGCTTTATACATGACAGATAGTATGGTTTACATACTGGGGAAGGTGGGAAGGTCTTTATATACATGACATATAGTACGGTTTATATACTGGGGAAGGTGGGAAGGGATTTATATACATGACAGATAGTATGGTTTATATACTGGGGAAGGTGGGGAGGGATTTATACATGACAGATAGTATGGTCTATATACTGGGGGAGGTGGGAAGGGCTTTATATACATGACAGATAGTATGGGTTATATACTGGGGAAGGTGGGAAGGGCTTTATATGCATGACATATAGTATGGTTTATATACTGGGGAAGGGGGGAAGGGATTTATACATGACAGAAAGTAGGGTTTATATACTGGGGAAGGTGGGAAGGGCTTTATGCATGACAGAAAGTAGGGTTTATATACTGGGGAAGGTGGGAAGGGCTTTATCGACATCACAGATAGTATGGTCTTTATACTGAGGAATGTGGTAAGGGCTTTATATACAGACAGATAGTATGGTTTATATACTGGGGAAGGTGGGTAGGGCTTTATACATGACAGAAAGTAGGGTTTATATACTGGGGAAGGTGGGAAGGGCTTTATTTACATGACAGATGGTATGGGTTATATACTAGGGAAGGTGGGAAGGGCTTTATATACATGACAGAAAGTATGGTTTATATACTGGAGAAGGGGGGAAGGGCTTTATACATGACAGATAGTATGGTTTATATACTGGGGAAGGTGGGAAAGGCTTTATACATGACAGAAAGTAGGGTTTATATACTGGGGAAGGTGGGAAGGGCTTTATGCATGACAGAAAGTAGGGTTTATATACTGGGGAAGGTGGGAAGGGCTTTATCGACATCACAGATAGTATGGTCTTTATACTGAGGAATGTGGTAAGGGCTTTATATACAGACAGATAGTATGGTTTATATACTGGGGAAGGTGGGTAGGGCTTTATACATGACAGAAAGTAGGGTTTATATACTGGGGAAGGTGGGAAGGGCTTTATATACATGACAGATGGTATGGGTTATATACTAGGGAAGGTGGGAAGGGCTTTATATACATGACAGAAAGTATGGTTTATATACTGGGGAAGGTGGGAAGGGCTTTATACATGATAGATAGTATGGTTTATATACTGGGGAAGATGGGAAGGGCACTATCCAGACCAAACTTGGTGAAAATCCCTCCGATAGTAAAGGAGGAGAAAAATTTTAAAAACCTACTTCAAATTCCCCTCCCGGGCCTGGCCCCTCTGCTACAAGAGAGGACATACCCTTTGTTTATACAAATTTAGTCCCCTTTGCCCAAGGATGCTCATAGCCAAATTTGGACAAAATCCCTCCAAAAATACAGAAGAAGGATTTTGAAGACCTTTACCTCAATTTCCCCTAATGGACCCTGTCCCAATGCACCGAGAGGGGCTACACTCTCCATTTATACCAAATTTAGTCCCCTTTGCCCAAGGATGCTCCAGGTCAAATTTGGATAAAATCCCTCCAATGGTACAGAAGAAGAAGGATTTTGAAGACTTATACCTCAATTTCCCCTATTGGGCCCTGCCTCACTGCACCGGGAGGGTCTACACCCTTCATTTATACCAAATTTAGTCCCCTTTGCCCAAGGATGCTCCAGGCCAGATTTAGTCAACATCCTTAAAGCTGTTCAGGACAAGTAGCGTTTTAAAGAAAAAGATGAGGGACGAACACTCGATATGGCATAAGCTCATCATGGTCCTTTGGACCAGGCGAGCTAAAACTGATGACATAATAACCATGTTTATGTATGTTAACACCTGTACTTGGGAACTGTATGACCCATTATTGATTTCTGTGTGTACTGTATGGTAACTGCATCTAACTAATTGCATTAGTTATAAAGGATGTTATATAAATGTTTGTATTCAGTATCAGGGGATTTACAAAAATTGGCTAGGAGTAATCATGGCATGTAATTATTATTTAAAGGTTATATGGTCGGATGCATCTATTGAACTTAGATGTGCTGAAGAATTTTTTGTTTTCTCTCATCCACAGACCTCACCACAAAGCTACAGATCCACCATATATAGGCAGGATTCCAAAATTAATTAGGGCCATACACTCCTCGAGAATTAAATTATAGCAAAACCTATGGATTTAGGGCAATACAATCCTCGTACACCGAGGCAAAATATATTTACAGGACACATACACACAAATTGGCATGACAGCAAAATAAGTCAATGACGAAACCCTGCTTCTTACTTGTGATCCACAAAAGTTACCTAGAGACAAATCTAACATCATTACACCTGACCTCCCTACAACTGTCAAATAGAT